AAAAAATGCAAATCTTTCATTTTTAATAATGTCAATGTACAGCTGTGGTAACAAAAATTTTAATGTCCATTTATATTATATTTCTCAAAGGCATTGGCATTGGGGATAACATATCTCGAGCACGCGTCAGAAAAATGTAATCTTAGAACGGTTGCGATGTGATATCACGGAACACGTGTAAAAATACGAATCTATTTGTATCATATATCTCAAAGATATTCGGGATAACATTAACGCTGGCTAATCAAAATCAGCAGCTATGCGATTCTGAAAGATGGCTCAAGCGAGCGCTGACTAAATGTCCGACAGCTGCATGCATCTGAAAGATGATCCAACTCAGCGTCGATAGGATTTGAAAATAATACCATTTAGAGAAAGACAAAATGTAGTATAAAATCAGTCTGAAAACGTTCAAGACCGCAGTAGGTAACATGAAGCGGAAAAAATAAGAATGTATAATGGTTGAAGAGTTGCCAAGTGACTGATAAGTAACAATATGTCTTTTATGCTGGTAAATACAAACAATTTCATACCATTGAAAAATGTGATGAAAAATTATAAAGATCGGTATTTGGAAGGCGTATTTGAGGGACTCGAAGGAAGAGATCGACACAGTGACACATCGACGCGTGTGAAACAGATCTCGCCGGTACAATTTTTACGCGATCGAGAACTCGGCATACGTGGGACCAATCTCTCCATAGAACGGAGAGCTGAATTCAAATGTGAGTTTCCCTCCCAAGAGTTATGGAAATGCACATTGAAGCGACGAGTATTTAGACGGGAGCTGAATAGAATCTATGGCACATCGCACTATAAAGAAGCGGACGATAAATCAAAAAGTAACTACATTCAGGAAATCTATGAAAGGATTGAACGTTGTCGAGCCTTGTATATCACATTTCCTGCAGGTATCGACAGGCGCGTAGAGTTAATAATAATGAACAGTTACTTCAGTTTCCAACGTTATTGTAAATCATGCAAACAAATCACGTGCAAGTGTAACGAAGAAGAGTGTGATATGATATGATAAAATTGTTGGAGACATGGAGCAAATCGAACGTGATCTATTGGAGCAATCCAGCCGAGTTGCCACCTTGGGCGAATATTTCGCGTGGGTGCAGCGATGCGACGAGTGCGTGCAACGACTCGAAGAGCACAGTCGAGTCAAGCGTCCGCGGCTCTCGATCGGACACAAGCAATCTGTGGTGGCAAGCATCGTGCGACTCGGAGGCGCAAAGACTTTATTGGAGAGACGCTTTATACACATCGGCGGTAATTATGTAGGCGGTGGCGCGGAGAGACTAGTTTGGCGAGAAATCGATACCGCGTTTGAAAATCGTATTTTGACCGGTGTGGTGATTAATATAGAATATATCGAGCCGCGACAATTTTTGGAAGACGCGAAACTGTGAACTCTTTCATATAACAGATTTGCGCGAGTGGTACGAGCAGCGCGTCATCGAGCCGATTTTAGCGTCCCTTGAAGAGTTTCAGGAACGTGATAGTGGGTGGGCGTTAGCGCGCATACACAATTTGATAATTAATATAAACAAGTACAATCCACTGCACGCGGGGTGTTACGTCGAATTACCGCGAGAAATAAAACTGAAGAAAACAGTAATTAACGTGCAATCTAAGGACAATGCGTGTTTCGCGTGGTCAGTGGTGGCTGCTCTGCATCCAGCTGAAAAACACACAGAACGAGAATCGTCGTATCCTGATTATATAACGGAACTAACCATGCAAGACATTGAGTTTCCCATGACGCTTAATCAGATTAAAAAATTTGAACATTCACACGATATCTCAATTAACGTATTTTGCATTGAGAATAAGGAAATCTTGCCGATACAGCTTACCACCCGGAAGAAGGAAAAGCACGTCAACTTGCTATACGTTCAGGGAGACAACGACGTGGGTCATTTTGCATGGATAAAAAATATGTCCCGCCTCATGAGCATGCAGTTGACTAAGCACAAAGGAAAAAAATATTTCTGCGATCGGTATGTATAATTTTTTTTATGAATAATATAAAAATATGTTATGTGTCGAGGCTTGAGCCTCGTGTTGTTGGCTTGTGCCGTCGCGTATGTGGACGCGGTTTTTCCTGTCCTGGCTTGTGCCGAATTTTCTGTACGGTGCCGTGTATGAGGCCCCGTAACTTACCGTGGTAAGGTTGATTAAGACCTTCGTGTTCTTTGAGAATAGTTTTATTGGGATACAAGAATTAGCTCGCGCTGCTTCTCTCTCAGAGATCCTGATAGGACTACCTACGACAGACTACTGACTCTTCCGTTACGAAAAAGACAGCGGAGGGGAGAAAGTACAAAAAAACTAAAAACTAAACGGGCGCTGGCGCGAGTCGGACACGAAAATACCTAGATAGGCGGGGGACGCGGGAAACTGAACGGAGCGCGCGTAGCGCGGACATACCGCCGCCCTTGAAAGTACTAACTTTCAATAACTGGAGTAGTATAAAATGGAACTTAATTGCGTACATAAGTAATCTTAATTAGTTTCGATAGGAAGAATACATAGACGGGTTATAGGACGCTTGAAAACGCTTTTACTCGTACGGACAGTAACGGTGCGAACAATTTTATCGTTACCAGGATGCAGTTCTATAATTCTGGCGAGAGGCCAGGTTAGCGGTGGTACATTATCTTCCTTTAAGAGGACTAACTGGCCAATCTGTACAGTATCTTGCTCGGTTCTCCACTTGCTTCGTTGCTGACAGTGATGAAGATACTCGTGCGACCATCGTCGCCAAAATCGTTGGCGTAGTTGCTCGACATGCTGCCATCGAGACAAACGTTGCATAGGTAGCTCTTCTAAAGAAGGCTCTGGATAGGAGGTCAGAGAATTGCCCACCAAAAAGTGTCCTGGTGTCAGTGAAGAGATATCAGCAGGATCGGATGACAAAGGCGTGAGGGGTCGAGAATTTAAAATAGCTTCAACTTGGATGAGCAAGGTTTGCAGTTCTTCGAACCTTAAGTGGGCATCCTTAGTTACCCGAAAGAGGTGACGCTTGGCAATCTTGACGGCAGCTTCCCAGAGACCACCATGATGAGGGGCTCGAGGAGGTATAAAGTGCCAATTGATTCTGTTGGCTGCCATGGAATCTATAATTTTTCGTTGAGTTTCTTGAGTGTTGAGTAATGCAGCCAAATCCTGCAATTCATGCTCGGCGCCTATAAAGTTTAGACCGTTGTCGGAGAAAATGTCTGTTGGGTATCCTCTTCTGGAGATAAAGCGTTTTAAAACATTCAGGAAAGCTTCAGCCGATAAGTCCGCAGCCAACTCAATATGAACAGCTGTTGTAGCAAAGCAAACGAAAATGGCCATGTAGCATTTGAGAAGTTTAGCAGACCTCCTTGGTCCGTCCTTGTAGTAGAACGGACCTGCGTAATCCACTCCACATTTTTCGAATGCCCGAGCGGGCACGGTTACTCTAGATTTGGGAAGATTTCCCATGAGCGTAGAGGCAGATCTTGGCGAACTTCTAAAGCAGATCACGCATTTACGCGTGATTCGACGTACCGCATCTCTGGCGGAGACAAGCCAATAACGCTGACGAATGGCCGACAGGGTGGCTTGGGGGCCGGCATGAAGGTGTCTCTCGTGCTCGTGTTTGATAATGAGAGTAGATAAAGGATGACGTCCTGGCAGCAGCATTGGATATTTTGCGTTATATGGAAGTTGCGACAGTTTAAGGCGACCACCAACCCTCAAGATTCCTGCTTGATCGATAAATGGATTTAATGATAACACTGGGCTATGCCTGGGAAGGTTCCGTTGGCTCGAGAGCAGTTCTAGTTCCGTTGAGAAGTTAGAATTTTGCACCAATTTTACGAGAACTTGTTCCGCGTGTTCCAATTCGTTAGGCAAAATGGATTGATGCCTCTCATTGGTTGGATGTGATGGCGTATCTTTCGATATTTTGGTTCGCCGCTTCAACTGACTATAAAATCTATAAATGTAGGCTACAGCTCTTAATAGTTTCGTGAACTTTGAAAATCGTTCGAAAATGTCGAATGATGATTCTGCGATGGCAAGTGCGGCAACGGCGGTGGCTTTGCGCTCGGGAAGTTGACTCTCGTCCACGATGTCAGGAAACCTTGGCCAACCTTCTTTATTGAGACTCAACCATGGCGGTCCCGACCACCATAGGGACGTCAGTCGGAGAGAACTTGGCATGACTCCCCTTGATAAAACATCGGCGGGATTGTCCTGACTGCTAACGTGGCGCCAGTCGCGAGTGGTAGTTAGATGCTGAATTTCACCAACCCTGTTGGCGACAAACGAGGTCCAGGTGCGGCTACAAGATTGGAGCCAGGCTAAAACAATTGTGGAGTCAGTCCATAAGTATATTGACTTCACGTCATGAACCAATCCCTTTGTGACCTTATCGACAAGTCGTGCCAATAGTAGCGCTGCGCACAATTCTAGGCGTGGTATGGATAAACTCTTTAAGGGAGCTACTCGGTTTTTTGAGCAGAGCAGCTGAGTAGAATGCGTCCCATCGTCGTTAGTTGAGCGTAAATAGATGCATGCGCCATAAGCGAGCTCGCTAGCATCTGAAAAGCCATGAAGTTCCAAAGCGGCAGGTTTGTCTAATGTAATGACTCGTCGTGGTATAGCAATGTCCTTTAATGACGTTAGTTCAGCCTCATATTGTTTCCACTTGCTGTCCATATCCAACGGAATGGATTCATCCCAATCGATTTTGAGACGCCAAAGATCCTGCATGATGATTTTAGCAGTAACAGTAACAGGACCAAGCAGCCCAAGCGGATCGAATACTAAGGCAATCCTTGACAGAATACTCCTTTTGGTAGCCGTAGACAAACGTGGCGGGCGAACGATGTCGGAAAATCTGAACTGATCGGCAGCGCAGTTCCAAACTAGACCCAAGGCTCTTGTTTCGCATGCCTTATCGCTGGAGGTAATGAATTCTTTTTCATGATGCAAGTCGCCATGAAGAGTTGGTTCATTGGACGCCCATTTGCACAATTCGAAATGCCCTTCTCGTAATAGCCGAGATGTTTCTTCCTTGATGGAAAGTGCGCCTTGTAGCGTATCCGCGCCGGTAACCAGGTCATCTACGTAGAAATCCCTTAAAACTATCTTGGAACCAATTGGATATTTGTCGGTGCTATCTTCCGCCAACTTCCGGAGGGATCGAATCGCCAAGAATGCAGCGGACGCTGTGCCGTATGTGACGGTGAGAAGCTCGAAGGTACGGATCGGTTGATCTACAGAGTCGCGCGATAGTACGCGCTGCAGCTGAGTTTGATTGGGATCGATGAGTACCTGTCTGTACATTTTCGTAATATCCGCCGTGAGAGCGTATTTAAAGGTGCGGAATCTGGCTAGTATGGTAAAGAGGTCGTCCTGGATCGTAGGACCGACCATCAATGCGTCGTTCAATGAGATTCCGGTGGTTGTTTTGCATGAGCCGTCAAAAACAATTCTTAATTTAGTTGAGGTACTGGTTTCTTTGTAGACCGCATGATGGGGAAAGTAGCAAATTGCGCCAGCAGGTTTCACATGATCTGTGACCTCACGCATGCGCCCAAGTTGCAAATACTCCTGCATGAATTGCCTGTAATCTGAGTATAGCTTGGGTGATTTTACAAGACGCTTTTCCAAAGACTTGAAGCGACGGGTGGCCGTCTCCTCAGAATCTCCAATATCCTTTAATTTGTCTGACTTGATGGGCAATCGGACCACGAAACGTCCCTCACTGTTACGCCTCACTGTATCCTTGTAGAGCTGTTCACAAGCTTGTGCTTCCGGCGATGTTTCAGGAAAGGTTATGAGATGGTCAAGCTCCCAAAATCGACTAATCGCTCGATTCAAATCCTCAGTCACTGCCAGACAACTAACAACTGGAGGAGCCAAAGGTTTGGTCGTGGTCGGGCCGGAAACAATCCATCCCAAGACTGTCTTTTGTAGGGTTGGCTGAGATCGAGAGGCTCGTATTTGGCCCGCGCAAATCAATCTCCAAAATAGCTCAGCCCCAATTAACATATCGATGTCGGATGGGACGTTAAAATTAGGGTCAGCCAGCTTTATGTGGCTCGGTATGACAATATTTTGTTTGGCTATAAAACCTTGAGGTAACGGCTGAGTGATCTTTGACAATATTAGACATTCTATATTTTCGACGAAATTATTGAACCGCGATTTGATACGCACGTTTATCATACGTTTTGCTTGTAAGACTCCTTGAACTACGCCGGAGATCGACGCATCGACTGAGCGTTCTCGGAGATGCAATTTGTCAGCGAAATCCTGTGTTATAAAATTTATTTGCGATCCGTTGTCTAATAGAGCGCGGCAAGAGTGAATCTCGTTGTTTGAATCGTATACGCCTATAATAGCCGTTGACAATATGATGCTCGAAGAATGCTGAGTCGATAAACATTGCGTGACGACAGGTAAGGTAACATTCTCAGCTTCCTGAGGGTTAGATTCGTTTGAAGCAGATGCCCCGCCGGCATCCGCTGCGCTCGCAAAATGCAACAATGTATTGTGCTTCTTTCCACACTTGCGACAGGCGCTCGAGGTACAAGACACAGCCTGATGTGCTGTGGATCTAAGACAATTTATGCATAGATGGGCCTTTTTTACAAGTTGAACTCTTTTTTCAATTGGTAATTTGAGGAAGGCCGCACAATGGTACAACTGATGGTTTTCTTTGCACTGTGGACACGACACATTAGATGTAGCGAGATTTGACACAGAGGAAGACCTTGTTTTATTGTTTGTAGAGGATTGGCTAACTGACAATTTGCTAAAAATTGTTTCGAGAGCTTGGCACCGTGCGGAAAGAAAATCTGTCAAAGACTTTAAGGTTGGGACGTCCTGGCCGGGAACACTGATTTCCCAAGCTGATTTCCCAACTTTACTAGTCGCAGTATCAAGTTTGGAGACGATAACGTGAATGATTAAGTCATCCCACGAATCAGTGGGTCTTTTCATTGCTTTAAGAGCACGCAAGTGACTCAAGGTGTTATCTAATAGCTCACGCAGTTTAACATGATTCTCTTTGGTTAGCGCCGGTACCTCGAATATAGCTCGGACGTGTTTTTGGATAATCCAGCGTCGGTTGTCGAAACGCTCCTTAACCGCCGCCCATGCTTCTCTATAACTGTCGGTGGAGGTCTCAATAGATCTTATGACTTGCGCTGCCTTGTCCTTTAGCGAAGAGCGCAAAAAATGGAACTTCTCGGTCTCTGTTAATCCTTCATCATCATGCACTAATTTTTCAAATGTGTCTTTGAACGTGTACCAATCTTCGTAAGCACCTGTAAAGATTGGAAGCTTAATTTTTGGCAATTTAACACGCGACTCCCGGTTGGCCGCGGCCGCTGGGATATCAGCACTAGCTGTGGGAATAATAGGTGGAGGAGGGGGGGGAGGATTGTAAGATTCAAGAGCGGAATTGAAACTCGACAGCACTTGATAATACGGATCCTCGAAGGATGCTCTTTGTAAAGATTGTTGATCGAGGAGTTCGTCCCGGTCAATGTCTTCGGCGTCTTCGTTCTCAAGTGTTTCTACTCGCGATTGTGCGACGTCGAACTGACCCCATAATTCGGTCAACTTAACCTTGCGTTCAGTAAGATCGTGCCGCGACCCTGATTCCACGCTATAATTTTCCATAAAGGTTTTTAACCTCGTCAAGGCGGCCTTTGCACGTGTGCGTTTGTTCTTCGCTTCGACTAATGTTAACAGATCCATCTCTGTATCGAATATAAGTGACGGAAAGTATCGAGCAAGCGAAGATCGCGTTACTCGAGCGACAAGAAAATGGCCGGCAAATAGTGATAACGGTAGATATGGCGATTGGTGAGCTTACCTTACTGCCCGAACGATATCGAGAATAAGATGCAATGTTCTTACCTAACATATGCCTTTGCGTAACGATTGTGAATTGCCTTTTTGGTCATGCGTTCCCTCGAACGGCTGAGCGCTTGGAATAATAGACCGCAAAGATCGTATACACTGCTATACGGATTTCTGTATCCGGCTCGAAGGACCAAATAATGTCGAGGCTTGAGCCTCGTGTTGTTGGCTTGTGCCGTCGCGTATGTGGACGCGGTTTTTCCTGTCCTGGCTTGTGCCGAATTTTCTGTACGGTGCCGTGTATGAGGCCCCGTAACTTACCGTGGTAAGGTTGATTAAGACCTTCGTGTTCTTTGAGAATAGTTTTATTGGGATACAAGAATTAGCTCGCGCTGCTTCTCTCTCAGAGATCCTGATAGGACTACCTACGACAGACTACTGACTCTTCCGTTACGAAAAAGACAGCGGAGGGGAGAAAGTACAAAAAAACTAAAAACTAAACGGGCGCTGGCGCGAGTCGGACACGAAAATACCTAGATAGGCGGGGAACGCGGGAAACTGAACGGAGCGCGCGTAGCGCGGACATTATGAATAATAAAAAATATATTTCCAGATGCTTGCATTACTTTAGTTCGAGTCAAAGGTTGGAAGCTCACATTGTGGACTGTGGAGAGATGAACGACTGCGCGATCAGATTACCGAGTGAGGACGACAAGTGGTTGACCTTCAAAAATTACAACTGTAAGGAACGTGCACCGTTTGTCGTATACGCCGACTTGGAGTGCACTCTGGAAAAGATTGACAAGGATTCGATAACGTCTTCATATGCGTATCAGCATCATGAGGTATTCAGCGTTGGATATTACGTGCATTGCTCGTACGATGATTCATTGTCCACATACCAATCTCGTCGCGATAAAGATTGCATCACGTGGTTCGTCGAGCAACTCAAAGTGTTATCACAACACGTAAAAGAAAAATTATTCACTAATGTCTCTATGGAAAATTTGTCGAAGGAACAGTGGGGGGCATACCGTAGCGCGACGCATTGCCACATATGTGAAAAACCGTTCGCACTGGGTGATGATAGAGTACGCGATCATTGCCATTTGACTGGAAGATATAGAGGTCCTGCGCATTCGAATTGTAATTTAAATTATAAAAATTTATATTGTATTCCTGTGGTCTTCCACAATTTATCCGGTTACGATTCGCATTTCATTATCAAAGAAATAGCTACGGCGTACGAAGGACATGTAGAATTGCTTCCAATAACGAAGGAAAAATACATTTCCTTCACCAAACATGTCACAGGCAACGCTGAAAAATCAGATTGGCGAAATTGTATGAAATTGCGATTCATCGATTCATACAAATTTTTAACTGCCAGTCTCGACAAACTAGCGTCTCTTCTCAGCATGGATAATTTGAAAATTACACGTTCAAATTTTTCAAAGTTATCGGTGGAAGATTTCAATTTATTGACGCGAAAGGGTGTCTTTCCGTACGAGTACGTTGATTGCGTCGAAAAGTTGGAGGACACGTGTATACCACCGCGCGAATCATTTTACAGTTCCTTGACCGGTGACACTGTATCCGAGAACGATTACGCACACGCTGCGAACGTCTGGCGACAGTTTGCCATTCAATCCTTGGGCGAGTACAGCGACCTGTATTTGAAAACAGATGTCATGTTGTTGGCGGACATTTTTGAAAATTTCCGAGACAAATGTATCGAGAGTTATGGTCTCGATCCCGCGCATTATTACACATTACCAGGATTCACGTGGGACGGCATGCTTAAACATACACGTATAAATTTCGAACTCCTCACGGACATTGATATGGTCATGTTTATCGAGCGCGGTATACGTGGTGGTCTGAGTCAATGCTCCTGTAGATATGCGCAGGCGAACAACAAATATATGCACTCGTATGATCCATCGAAAGCTTCCTCATACTTGATGTACTTTGACGTAAATAATCTATATGGATGGGAAATGTGTCAACCATTGCCATACGCCGAATTTCGATGGGTCGACGATGTTGCAGATTTTGACTTTAGTGCGATCGCCTCGGACTCGCCCACGGGTTACATTCTCGAGGTCGATCTCGAGTACCCACAAAGTATACACGGCGAGCACACTGACCTACCGTTCTGTCCAACGCGCGATAAGCCGCCTGGCAAGCGGCAGGCAAAACTTCTGGCGACTCTATATTGCAAGAAGCGTTACATGATTCACTATCGCAACCTGCAGCAATGTACGCGTCATGGTCTTCGCGTCACAAATATACATCGCGTACTACAATTCGCGCAATCCGCGTGGCTCCGCGATTATATTGAACTAAATACGCAATTTAGAACGCTTGCCAAGAACGATTTTGAGAAAAATTTGTATAAATTGATGAACAACGCGGTATTCGGCAAAACTATGGAAAATGTACGAAATCGCGTCAATGTAAAATTAATAACTAAATGGGAAGGACGATACGGCGCGGAGGCAATGATTGCAAAACCAAATTTCCATAGCCGAAGCATCTTTTCGGAAAATCTGATAGCTGTTGAATTACGCAAACTCGAAGTGAAATTCGTCAAGCCGATCTACGTAGGTATGTGCATTCTCGACATATCTAAAGTCTGTTTGTACGAATTTCATCACGAGTACATGTTACCTTTATATCGCGACAGATGTAAAATTATGTACACCGACACAGATAGTCTTATATATCACATCCAGTGCGAGGACGTGTACGAGACGATGAAACGTGATATTCATAGATTTGACACGAGCGATTATCCGGCAGATAACGCGTACGATATTCCACATGCTAATAAAAAAGTGCCCGGTTTAATGAAGGATGAGAATAATGGTGCGATAATGACGGAATTCGTCGGGCTCAGAGCGAAGATGTACGCGTTGAGGGTAGACGGTAAGAAAGATACAAAGAAGGCTAAAGGCGTAAAGAGTAACGTGGTAGCGCGATCGATAACGTTCGACGATTACACGCGGTGTCTCAATGATGAGATAGAAATTACTCGCCAACAGACTTGTATAAGATCGAAGCTGCATGAGGTGTACACTGTAGCCGAAACGAAAATCGCTCTGAGTCCGTATGATGACAAGCGATACGTTGTGCCCGATTCTACAGAAACGCTGCCATGGGGACATTATAAAATATCATTGTAAATATTTTATAAATTCATTTTATTTTTTAATCAGCATAGATATATTTTATCCACATCGATTATAATAAATGTATACATTGTAAAACATGTATAATAAATGTATGCCATTGTAAATATTTTATCATTTATTTTTATAAGACATA